AGCATGTGGGAGCCCTAGCTACCACATCTACTACTGGGAGAATCCCCCCAATAGGTGTTTATAGTTTAGAACAGGGGTGTCAAAAATGTGGCCGGGGGGGGCGGATCAAGCCCCCGGAGGGCTTCTATCAGGCCCACAGTAGAACTGGCTGTCTTCCGCTTCTTCTTCCAGTTCTGCTGCTGCTGCGTAATCGTAGGTTTGCAGCTTACAGATACACACCTGAACAGCATACTCAAGATTGCAACAGCACAGACATTTTGATGCAATAATTCAGAGCAAGAGGTGTCAGTTATCAGATACTGTTAAATAAACAAAATATTGCAAGAGTGCTAATGTTTTAAGCATGTTTTTATTTTAAGTAAAAAAACAAACCCTTTGTGTTTGTGTCCTTTATCAAGTTTATATCTCCACTACCTGGCATTACGTTTTATGACACACATGGTTCGGCCAAACATGGTCTCATTTATGTCAAATCCAGCCCTCATAACAAATGGGTTCGACACCCCTGGTTTAGAATATCTTCTGCTTCTTATGCTGTCTCTACTTACGCCTGGATTCATTTGATGGTCAGTGGTGAATAAATGGTCACAGTTTCCCTCTGTGATATTCATCTTGAGGGGCTTTTGGGTTTTTCTATTATTTTAAAATTATCCTAGTAAAATTAAGAAGCAGGACCCAGATCATGGTGGTTGTGAAAATAACTATTTTTAAAGTTGTAAGTGTTACATTGGCTGATATCAGAGTATTCACCACAAGATCTTTCCTACATACAAGAGTCTGTGTTTGGCAATAACCAGGTATCCATCTGTCTGTGTTTAAAACATGTATTTGGTTGTCTGTGTATTCTTATGCACACACTTTGAAATTTTCTCATATCTATGCCTTTATCAGAGACTAACACTATTCAATGTAAAGGTATAAAGAACCAGCAACATGATTCCACTGTGAATTAGTAGTACTGAGGTCTATAAGGAATCAAATGAATATGTACAAATGGAATGAAAGGATACCTGATAACCTTTTATTATTTGAATGATATTTATCTTCTGGTTCAGCATGGCAACATAAGATACCAGAAGGTAAAGAAGATCCAATAATGTGCAATGTACAAACTCACAGAATAATGAAAAAGTAACTTACTGCTTTACATCAAAATTAAACTACAGTAGTGCCTAGCTCTCCTGCCATTTTCTGCATGCAGAATTCTAGATGGAATCTGGACTCCAGAGTCCCTGATAATATCGGGGGGGAGGGGGTTGGATTAATATAAGCAAGTGGCTAACACTCACTGATGTAAACATATATTGGAAAACAGTGTCTTCTCATAATTCCAGCAATAAGGGAATGAGTAAAGGTAAAGGTTTCCCTTGCTCAAAAGCTAGTCGAATCTGACTCTAGAGGGTGGTGCTCATCTCCGTTTCCAAGCCAAAGAGCCAGCATTGTCCGAAGGTGTTTCCATGATCATGTGGCCGGCATGACTAAACACCGAGGTGCACAGAATGCTGTTAGCTTCCCACTGAAGTGGTACCTATTTATCTACTTGCAATTTCCTGCTTTCAAACTGCTAGGTTGGCAGGAGCCGGGGCCAGAGATGGGAGCTCACTCAGTTACATGGCACTAGGGTCTCGAACTGCCGAGCTACAGACCTTCCGGTCTACAGCTCAGTGTCTTATCCTCTGAGCAACTGCAGCCCCAATAAGGGAATAGCGTTAATTTAAAAAATTGCGGATGCTACAACATCTCCAGATTTCAGAATCTGGACAAACTAGTCTGAAATAAGTAGGTTTGGAATCTATTTACATGGATTTTTCAGTGTACAGTTAGATTTTTTTTAGGAGGGAAGGATATGAACAACCATGCTTAAACCCTATATATTATTATGGTCTATTATTGTCTAAAGCGTGTTCTAGCTTGTGCTGCCCTCACAGTCCCACAAGGGTACTATAGCACAGTGGAGGCTTTTCTGCATTCTCATTTTCCTCACT